GAGAGATGACTGAGAGAGAGAGAGAGGAGAGGGAGAGAGCAGCGCTGTGTGTGACGAGAATGCTTAAGAGAGAGAGAGACGAAGAAAGAAGATGAGAGAAAGAGAGAGAGAGAGAGAGAGAGAGAGGAGCGAGGGTAGAGAGTAGAATACGCCGATAGTATTCATTTATCACGATTATTATTTGATTATTATTATTATCATTATTATTTGTTGATTGTTAATGAGAGGGGAGATGAGGAGGAGCGGTTAGTGATAACAGTGAGAGGAGGAGCGCAATGGAGAGAGAGAGGCGAGAGAGAGAGGAGGAGGCGGATAGACGTAGAGAGAGAAGCGCATTCAGCCTCGCGAGTGAGGAGAGAGCAGACGAGAGGGGGGGAAGCAGGTAAAGAGAATGAGCGCCGCACGCGCGCGCTGTGTGAGAGAGGAGAGAGAGAGAGAGAGAGAGGCCGCGCCGTGGCAGCGGAGTGAGAGAGGTTGGGAGAGGAAAGGGGAGAGATGAGGGATGAAGAGAGAGAGAGAGCAGCGCGCCGCTGAGAGAGCGATGATATACCCCGCGAATGACATGAACCTCTGTCGTTTGTTTAAGAGTATTTAGACACACAGAACGGCAAATTATTGCTTGATATGACTGCTTGATATTTGAACAGTTGTGATACACAGGATATGAACAAAATAGTGTGTGGTCATTCAGCTCAATAGTGTGAATAAAACATTTCTTGATCGATGACTATGTTGTTTGCTTTCTGGGAAGAAATTTTGACCAAAAAATAATGACCATAATGAAATTTTGACCTAAAAATCGACATAAATTCATTTTTTACGGAAATGAATCTTTCATAGTAGTTTGTTTTGTTAATAGATCTGTTGTTATTCTATTTTGCGGTCATTTTGAATACCTCACTTGTTAAATTTGATCGAAAATAAAGATTTTATGATTTTTTTCACATTTGGGTAAATTTCACTTTGGCGGCCATCCTTGATGACGTCATAACCGGAAGTTCGTCCCAACTTAAACGCAATGTTAACATTTATTTTCGTGATCAGGGCGTCATGGGCTTCAGAAAAATATTTGGTTCGAGGTTTGTGGGGGGGGGGGGTGCACGTGGGACCCTTCTAGCTCCCGGACTAATTAGCTATATATTACATAGGAAGAATAGGAAAGCCGTGTCCGCCGAGTGTTGCGATAAATCGAAATCTGAGCACTTGTTTTGCGCTGTGTTAACGCCGAACAGAAATTGTACTCGCCCAAAGATTTTATTTTGGGCCTGTAATATATATTTTTTGGTATTTTTTAATCGCCCAGCAGAGGTTTTGGTCGCCATTGGCGACCGGGCGACCGGCAGTGTCAAGCACTGATTAGACATAACGAGATCAACCAAGTAACCTGTGGTTATACCAGCACAATCATCTGTACAGACTAGCTATCGTGACAGCTGTCCTGGATAAGGAACGCACCTTTCTCGCTATTGGCATCCTATTGAACACATTCCAGAGAACGATTCCCACGACAACGCTGTCCTTCAGGTAAAACACTACACCCTTGCCGTAGTCCTCTTGGTGCTTGGCGGGTGGCTCACTGGCGCCCTCTGTTGGTGGTGGTTCTATCGTTGCAGCCTGTGTCATGTAGAGTAGTAACGCGTGAATGGCATGCGTGGTACGTGAGTATTTCGACAATGGTCAGAAAGCATACTGATCATAACGCAGGTTGTGTGCATGCCCAATGATTCCGGTTTAGCAGTGGCACAGGCAGAGAAATTACTCCATAGGTTTCAATGAGAATGAACCAATCGTGCTCTTTAGTCATGTGTGTAAAATCATAGGGATGATATAGTAAGAGTACATACATGTCCATCACAGAACATTTTACGGCAGTTTTTCAAAATTTATGTCAACATTTTTTCCCAGGTTATGCTACAGGCTATCTAATATCAGTGCAATAACACCATTATATACCATATCTCCCATTATATACTCTTGATAATTATATATGCGTAATATTTGATGTGAAAATAAATGTTTCAGATCTGAAAGTCTGAAATCTGGGCGAGAGATGGTGCTACGCCTAAATGATCGCCATTTTGGTCTTCGATTATCGCGCAAAGAAAAACAATAAAATATTCCAGTCAAATTACTGTAACGAAGAATCTAAAACACAATATTACACGTAGGTATGATTGTAGAGTTGTTAACCAGTTAGATTGTCATTTTTCTGTTATTTTGGTCAAAGGTACGAGTGGGTAGTACGCAACCACAAGTTATCTTCTTGAATCTCGCATCTCACTACCCCTAAAAAAACTGCAGCAAACACGCAGTTTAGAATGACTCAAAAGTAGGTTGACCTAATCTATCTAATTTGCATAATTTAAAAAAAATATCAAAACCCGTGTGATATGTTTTGGGGCAAGTCCTTATTCATTCACATACCAAAAATGAGCAAAATCCGTTGAACCTGAACTGACTTATGGCCATTTCCATTTTTGCCAAAAAGTGGGCGTGGCTCGAAAGTACGTTGACTGGCGTGCTCCAAAATAGGATGTTCAAATCTCTCCCATAGGAGTAACAACTGTATGCAATTTGAAACATGCAGGGCGTCAAGTGACAAGTGACGCTCAAAAAATAGGAAAATAGGAATTTCAGATGTGAAAAAATAGGAGGAAAATAGGAATTTTGGTGAGAAAATATATGTTAAATAGGAATATTTGTTGCTAGAGGCCTCGCCAACACCCCTACAGCCATCCCGATCCACACAAAATGGTTGTATTATATACATATTTGGAGTTACATCACATCGAACAAATTTTTGAGATTTATAATGAGAATGCATGTTAAAATGATAAGCAGTTTATACATTCATAAGCACCCATACATGGTAGACTACTCCAAAAATATGACATACATGTATACACGGCTTTTGAAAAAGGGGGGTCCAGTAAAATAAAGGCACTTTTATAATGAAAGTGTCAATGAGACACTGCAGCTCACACACAAATGACGTTTTATAATATTCAGATTTATGAACTGCCTATAAAAGCGGAGCTCCTGATGAATGAGAGGAAACGCTTATTCTCGTAGCTGCTATGTACCACGTGACAATGGTGTTTCCCTGCCATAACACAACTTTTGTCAAAGGTTAATTTGCTTGCATGGAAGTGTTTACTTCGTAGGAGTTTTTCTAGTCGCTAGCACACGGTTGCGATCTGTATATGGCAATAATAATTTATAAACCAAAATGAATCACAATTGTGACGGTAGATGGCGCTATACCCGCTTTGTAGCAATGGCATTCCAAATAAATAGATATGCTGCATTCCGACATGTTTTGTAAAACTTTACTCTAATATAGACATTTTATCGGCAGGCTGGAGAGAAATACTCCAATATCTGCAAAGATATTGTCAATGAAATCCTGTAAAACGAACTAGACGAGGTGACACCACAGACTGTTTGTTATCTGCGTTTTTGCATAAATGCATAAACCTACTAATTTGCACAAATTTTTTTTATAATATCAAAACCCCTAGCCCTTATTCATTCACATACCAAAAATGAGCAAAACCGTTCAACCGAACTGACTAATGCAATTTCCATTTTTCCCAAAAATCGCCGTGGCTCGCCAAAGTAACGCGGACTGCGCGTGCTCCATAAAATAGGCCTCATGGGAGCATTAGCAGTACAACTACAGACCCATTCTCGAAAACATGTGGGCAAAGGTTCCTGAGTTATCGCTTGACGAAACCAATGTTGACGGAGAGGCGACGGACGGACGACGGACACAGACCATTGGCAATAGCTCAGCTGACGATGTCAAGGTGAGCTAAAAAGGTGCCAAAGGCAGACTATGCGGCGTCTAAAGCACGTTGCCACTTTGGGGCGGGGGGTTAGGGGGCCCTCCCCAATAAAATTAAAAAATTGGTGCAATTCGAGAGCATCTGAGCAGTAATTTTGATGTCTAGAATGCAAGATGGAATTCCAAATTTTTAAGCAGAAAATTATCTTTTATGTGTTTTCCCTTTTTTGGGTTAAAAAAGGGGGGGTCCGGACCCCCTGCCCCCCCCCCTCTGGATACACATACCACATCCAACTGAGAAACAACTTTACTGAAATAAAATCTGTGATAGTAAAGAGTATATTACGTTAATTTAAGGGGTCTGGGGCCAAATTTTTGAAAATTGGGTTACCTGAAATGTATATTCCTGCATTCTGAGAAGGATACATACAATTCTGGATTCCGAAAAATGAAAAGCCCTCAAAAATAGGAATTTGTCCAGAAAATAGGAGAAAATAGGAATTGTCCAGAAAATAGGAAAAAATAGGAAAAAATAGGAACTTGACGCCCTGAACATGTGGATCAAACGGTTCCTGAGTTATCGTTGACCATAGGCAGACACTGTAATGCATAATGAAATTGCCAAAATCTACCTAATTTGCATAATTTTAAAAAAAATATCAAAACCCCTGTGATATGTTTTGGGGCCAGTCCTTATTCATTCACATACCAAAAATGAGCAAAATCCATTGAACCTGAACTGACTTATAGCCATTTCCATTTTTGCCAAAAAGTGGGCGTGGCTCGAAAGTAGGTCAACTGGCGTGCTCCAAAATAGGACGTTCACATCTCTCCCATAGGAGTAACAACTGTATGCAATTTGAAAAATGTTGGGTCAAACAGTTCTCGTTATCGTTGACCGTAGCCAAATGTTGACGGACGGACGGACGACGGACGCGCCCCATGGCAATAGCTCATCTTGACGATGTCAAGGTGAGCTAAATATTTGGTGTGTATTGGACAGGTATGAACATGTGACTGAAAATGCGTTCGCCGCTTAATCAAAACCTCCACTTTCCTAATCAGGACATTTTCGCGGTTCGCGATCTGTCTCGATAAGGAGGGGACCACTGTACTACCGTCCCTTCACGTGTAAATCACAGTAATATGCCGAGGATCAATGTTACGTATACCGGCCACCTCACCCCGCTCACCTCCTCTGTCTCCGACCTGACTCCCTCGCCGGTTGCTGTGACAACAGCTTTGGGCGTGTCCTTCTCGGTCGCCTTTGCAAAGACGCTCGTTGTTGGAAGCGAGGAATCAACGATGCCGATTGCTTCGTATCCTACGTCAGGTCCGAGATCAGACCTGTAGTACAAACACAAACTCATACAGGGAACAACCAAGCAGAAAACGTGGGGGAACATATGACATCGACCTACGCGGAACTCAAGGAATGCATCATATCAACCTATGTGGAACATCGAGAGAACATATCACATCCACTTATGTGGAACACAGAGAGAACATATCACATCCATCTATGTGAAACACACACAGAACATATCACATCCATCCATGTGGAACACATTAGGAACATATCACATCTATACAGGTGGAACACAGCGAACGTTACAAATCCAACTACGTGGAACACGTGGGGAACATATAATATGTCATATGCATCTACATAGAACAAATGTGGCAGCCGCCTATATGCACAGCGCACGCGCACATAACTCACTTACCAGAACATAGACTGGTGCCAGTAGGGCTTTCCAGCACCCGTCATGTTCTCGCCAGCTAGCCGGCCACTGACTACGGCGTGGTCGTGATGTTCTACACGCCTCCTTCCGAGCTTGATGTCATAGAAGCACGACGCGTCACCGGCCTGCACAAGTATACAGCCATCACTAAGATTGTAGCGAACACGACCACAGCACACCCACATGCCATTAGAAAGTTACGTTTTCCACGAGCAAAATGAAGCACTGAATTCTAGACTGCGAAGCTATATGCCATTTAAAAAGAAATAGTTTGATTTTTTTTAGCTTACACCTCTATAATCAGCTGTCTATGAAGAATGTTTTTTGCGCTTCACTTGAGTGCCATATACACAATACTTAGATATACAGACACAATTTTGGGTGTTTCCATTCACTGACCCTCATATACACGTTTCACTGCATCTTTAAAACGTTGTGTCTCCCACAAATCAAAGAAATCACTATCATCTATCTAGACTTTAAAGATATTCACCATGATAAAAAAAACACAAACACGGAACTAGATAATAGATATGTAAATGATAGACAATTGATTTGATAGCCATCTAGCAATAATGCAAAGTATCCCCCCCTCCCCCCTGCACGCGAATACGCGGTTTCTTTCATCTGATGAAAACCACCCCAGCGCGTGGCGGCCTCGTGAGCGTGAGACGAGCAGGTCGGGGTCGGGGGTCGGGGTACTCACCACCCAGATGTTGGATCGTGCCTCGAGCTCGGCATTGACTCGGAAGCCGCCGTGCGTCTCGTCCAGCTCGAGGCCGGATGGCAGCGCCAGCTCGACGTTCGGCTCGATCCCCACGGCAACGACGACATGATCAGCTTCCACCTGCAAGGAACGGTAGGCAATGTGTATGTGTACATGTATATACATGTGCACGAACGCATGCACACGCGCACGCAAGCACACACTCACGCACACAGATATGTAAAGACGATGATAAACTCCTTCTGTGTCAAGCCAAGTATAAAAAGAAAAAAAAGTTTCGTTAACTGATGATCTGATCTGATTTCGTTAAACTGGTTTGTCTAAATAAATTTACATCAGCTAATTAAATTGCTCTTATATATATATATACATATGCATACATGCACGCGAAAGCGCACATGCATGCACGCACACGTGTTATAACCTGGAAATCTGTACAACAATGATTATCTGTCACACATCTGTACCTCAGTGTTATCCTTTAGCTTCAGGGACACCTTTCCAGAGCGTGTGATGCTGGCCGACTTCACCACAGAGTTGGGCATCACCGTCACACCCTCGTTTGCCACTTTGTTAGTTGTCCAGTGACTCAGAAATTCTGGGAGAACTCTTCCCATGTTGCCTGCAAGGAAAGAAGGGTCACGTACTGACATCCATTTTCGCCCTACCCACTACATCGTGGCTATGGCTAATCACAATCAATCCATAGATTTCAATTATTATGTAAAGCAATGCAACTTAGAATGCTGAGGTAATCAATACAATGCAATGCAATGCAATTGTATGCAATAGAATTCAATGCAATACAATACAATGTAATGCAGTGCTATACAAAACAATACAGTGCAATACAGTGTGATATAATACAATGCAATATAAGCTGCATTCACACGAGGAGAAAAGTTGCGTTCACACGCTAAAATATACGCGGCTTGCTTAGCCACGGCTTGCTTAGCCGCGAATGCTCCGGCTTGCTAAGCGCGGAATCATATTCCGCGTCAACTAAGCCGCGTATATTCGGCACCACGCTGGCCGCGTATTGATTGTCGTGTGAACGCATTGTTCGTGTTGTTCGCGCATTGTGAACGCATTGTTCGTGTGAATTGCGAAACTGTAGCGCTCTAACCTAGACTGCTACCCGTTCGCTGCACGACGTTAGGGTAGCGTGTGGAACTGTCGACCGGGTACCAGTCTATATTATACCGAGCTAGCTAAGCCTTGAATCTCGTGTATCTCGTGTGAACGCATTTTAACCGGACTTAGCACCAACTAAGTACGGTACCAGCTAAGCCGTGTATACGTGTGAACGCAGCTATAGTGCAATGCAATGCAGTGCAATGTAATACAATGCAATGCTCTTTCCTACCAGATTCTGGGAACATTTGTATGACCTTGAGACCCGTTTCATGGCCGCGCTTTCCTAAAGCGCAGGCTAGCTCACTGCCAAGGAATCCACCGCCAATGACAGCTATTGACTTTACGGATGAGGCCACCTTCTCTAGCTTACGGTAGCTCTCTACCTGTTGTGATAAATTAAGCATGTTATCTATCACACATGCACATACGCACACATGCACATATGCATGCGTGCAGTGAATGACATTGCCTTTAAGGATTAAAGATCATAAAATTTTAGATCACAAGTCTTTAAAATGCAAATGGCAGAAGTAATGAAAGTTACTAGTATATTGATTAACCTTTTACATCAATGTGATTCATTTATTTACCGCCATTCACTTATAATGACACAAAGCCATTACTTACTCCTCTAAAGAGAGTGACCTTGCCTTTCATTGCATCACCAGCCTTCTGTACTGCACGAAGGTTTCTAGGTTTCCCACCTATAGAAAAAAGAATTCTAAACTAAAATTACCACATAACTATAACATGTAAATACCATGTCTAAATACTACTCTCTGAAAACTATATCGATAATTACCAATGCACACTTGCTTATTGGTCTTGACCTACAATACACATTTTGACTAATGATTTGTGTCATGACAACAACAACAACAACAACAACAACAACAACAACAACAACAACTACTACTACTACTACTACAGCAACATCTACAACAGTGATAACAACAACACCAACAATGATGAAATCAGTCACAACACCAACACCAACACCGCCGCCGCCGCCGCCACCAGCAACAACAACAACAACGTCAAGAAAAACAATGACAGCAGCAACTAAATTTATGATAACACCAACAACTACAACGATAACAACTGCAACAACAACAACATCATCACTCAACACACTCACCGGTCGCGATCAACACTTTATCGTATTTGACTTCAATTCCGTTGTCCAGAATCACCTTCTTCTTCACCGCGTCGATCTTTACCGCCTTACGGCCACGGACGACCGCTACTCCTCCATTCTCCTGCAGTGGCAGCGTTCTCGCCTCCGTGTAAAACGCATCGGGCTCAAAGAACAGACTGTAGGGGACAGACACAGAGAGATAGAGAGATCACTAGAAGTACACGCACACAAAAACAGTCGTGCACTTACACATCAGTGTATAGTGCCAGGCGGATGGGTTAATTACCGTATGCATATATTAAACGAGTACGTTGAACATTTTCCACCGGACAAACCTTCTCTCCTTGCCATTCCACTGTTTAAATCGCAGAGTAGTTGGCGTTCTGGGGTCATCGCTGAACCACAGCTCCTTTGAGAGAGGAGGTCTCATGTAGGGGTAATGATCTTCATCCCCAATCACCAGCACCTTAAACAGACAAGGCAGGTGCTCGCATTATGCAATCACATGTACACATTGCACATATAACTACAGCTTATGCGATCTTGACATATCACGTAAAAACTTAAAAGTAATGCTATACCACAAATAAAGGATTTTACGCAATTAATAATAAATAAACAGTAGACTGTCACAGTAAAGGCGACAGAGGATGCTGACTAGACCTCTTTTCACGCATATCTTCCACAGATTTCGCACCTTTGCAGTCGGATCCTTGGACTTGATGGCGCGGAACGCGGCGAACGACGCCGTGCCCGCGCCTATCAACACGTATTGCACGTGTTCCGGAATCGGAGGCAGGACGACTAAGAAACACAACAGGGGTCGAACTTCAATTTCTTAGCGTCGAATTTTATCTTTTATTTTGCAGCGGGCGAGGCGATGGGAGGGGGCAAGGATGTTTCGCTGTGGGGAACTTAATCGGAAACTGCAGGAATTAACTGAAACAGCAAACGGTCTCATCAAAGCAGATGCAACATTTAACTGGCAGTTTTTATGTAAAAAAGGGAGTGATACACACGCACGTTAGGATTAACGAGCACGGTACGGAAGCAAGTAAGGTTGGACAGCCACCGAAATTCATTGATATTAATAGCGACCAGACGTTCGAGAGTATGAATCCTTAAATGCTATGAATTAAGGTGGCTAGCCTTGTAAATTAGTGTTGTCTGGTGCATGGAGTATGCGTTTGTCCGTATACATATTCACTGGATGTGGGAGGCCTACGCTTTGGGAAATTACCGATTGGCAACTGCAAGCAGCCAACTGATGGATAAAAACAGGTATAAATAGATTGTGAGAAAACACTTAGAGTTCAATACCTACCTTCAGGTTCTCTGCTCTCCTCTCCCTCCCCCACAAGAGGGGATGCCTGAATCGAACCTTTCTCCCAGACCGGCGGATTGGTCATGCGTGGGGGAGGATTTAAGTAAACTATATCATTCTTGTACATCTGAAAAGGACACATTACATCATCACACCACACAAATACTTCACAAATCCTTACAGATGGCAGAGTAAGTGTAAAAATCGACCCTAGTTCATGCACGCCAGTTGTAGGGGTAATGCACGGCCAATATACTGCAGAAAATTCTTCATACTAGTTGATATTTCCCTCAGGACAGCTCAGGCAATACTGCTCACGAACATAACATTAAATTGCGTACTGGAAAAAGTGTTCAGAAAATTAAAGTGTGTCTTTCTCTTATGACAGGGTGTAACACGAAATATATAATGAGTGGAAACAGTAGTCGTACTGAACAGTGTTGTAGGTCTCGAGGCCGGTCTTGGCCTCGAGACCGGCCTCGAGACCGTTTTCCTTGGTCTCGGTCTCGGTCTTGGCCTCGGAGTGCAATGACTCGGACTCGGACTCGGACTCGAGCCCTCCGGACTCGAGGACTCGGGTCGAGGCCGGCTCGAGGCCACTACATACATAGTACACAACTGTACATATTGTAACACGCAGTTTACAAGAATTTAAAACTAAAACTCTTAGGTTTTCTAGATACACGGCCTAATCTTGTAACGTTTTCAATGGCTCAATTAATAAGATTCTTGTCCCTTTGGTTTGAATCTGCTGTCACTTCGTCCTTTTGCGCTTTTTCTACCACTTCTTTCTCTTCTTCTTCCACTTCGAAGGTACTAGCACTATCTCTCATTTGGTTCAACAAGCCGTGTCATTCTCGTGAAACAGAAATGGATCCGTTACTTTGACACGTTTCGTATGACTCGTGTCTCTGTGTTTTCGGCTGACTATGGCCAAAGAGCTTATAATGATATCATCAGGAGTAAGATAATATAGTAACTAATATAATATAAGAATAATAATATATAAGACTATATTATCTTACTCCTGATATCATCATATCATTATAAGCTCTTTGCTATGGCGATGTTTCATGTTTATAAACATTTAAGTCATATGCGCACATACGCAGTTTAACGGTTGGCAGCAAGCAGATGCGTGATATTGTTCGATACAAGCACACGCACGCACGCACGCACGCACGCACGCACGTGTACCTGCACACGTGCGCACACACGCACGCACGTGTACGTGCACACACACGGACGCACGCACGCATGCACGCACGTGTAAGTTCACACGCACGCACGCACGTGTACGTACACACGCACGCACGTGTACGTGCACACGCACGCACGCACGTCTACGTGCATATGCACACGCGCGCACACACGCACTAATGCAGGCAGGTGTACGTGCACACGCACGCACGCATGTACGCACGTGTAAGTGCACACGCATGCACGCACGCACGAACACACGTGTACGTACACACGCACGCACGTGTACGTGCACACGCGCACATGCACGCACGTGTACACACGCACGCACGCACGCACGCACGTGTACGTGCACACGCCACACGCACGCATGCACGCACGTGTACGTGCACAGGCACTTGTACGTGTCACGCGCGCACGCACGCACGCCCGCACGTGTACGTGTACGTGCACACGCACGCACGCACGTGTAAGTTCAGACGAACGCACGCACGCACGCACGCACGCACGTGTACGTGCACTACATAAACAGCACTTTCTATCAGAACATGTGGTCATTCATCTGTAAATGTCAAGCAGCATGCTTCGCTTTTGCCAACCACAACACATGTATAACAACTACACGTGACCTGATCTATGACGTCACGTAAAACATCGCTATACACTTTCGAATGTCTACGATGCACTGTTGCAATTTTTCCCTTTTTCCTCTTTTTCCCCTTTTTCCGATTTTTTTCCTTTTTCCCCTTTTTCCCCGATTTTCTCCCTTTCTTTATCAAAACTAGACTCGGACTCGGACTCGGGTGGTGCGGACTCGGACTCGGACTCGGGTGGCGCGGACTCGGACTCGGACTCGGGGGGGGGTGCGGACTCGACTACAACACTGGCAGAAAGCAATGGGACAGAGGTGATCTAGTAGATCATCTACATTGAGAAATACACTTCACATAATACAATTTATTTCCATTCTCCATTTCATCCTTTTACAGCTATTATTATATAGTCTCACCCTATTCCAGCATAATGCAATAGTTTGGACCTCAATAATATATGGAAAATTTGGTACAAATTCCCGGATCTAATACTGAAAATTTCTAGCTATGGAAGCCGAGGATTAAAAACGGAAAATAGTGCACTCCCTCCCTCCTGCTGATAGTACACGTGCCAGTACGGCTGATAGGGTCTATGTCCCCCAGGGTACTGCCGGAACGTACCCTGGGTACGGTCCGATATACCGGAACG